AAAAAAAAAAAAACACTAAGCACGTTTGGCAAAAAAAAAATGGATAAAATTTCAAGCGCAATAAGTAGATTGCAATTTACTTCTGTGGCTTGCAGTGGACAGAGGGTGAAAAAAATGATTGCTACCGAGTGTTTTTCGAGAAGTGTCGTGAGAAAGCAGACGTACACCAAGGACCTTTGTTCAGTTCTTTGTGGCTAGAAATTGCACGCTCACTGAACCACATGCTGAGTTGTACCTTGAAGGAGTATTCTGTTGGCCAAATTTGGAGAAAGATTCAACGACTCATAAATTATTTCAACAAGTTTCAAGTTTCCTATTGATTCTAGGAGTTTAGTGCATGGTGATGCTGACAATATTAGTGTTAACCACAAGTGGCAGTATGTTGACGATGTAAGTTGGTTTCTTATTTTAGTTTGTTAATTCATTTTGCAGTGCGCTCATAACCCTAAAAAGTTTCAAATGTAATACACAGGAAGATATTGACGCTCAGACATTTTTTCACTGGTATAGATTTCCTTGGTATCGTGAGTTTTATGAGTTTTTACCAAGCGCAACGCAACAGTGATCGAATTAGAAGGCGGACCTGGTCCTTTGTTGGAAACTAGATTCCTTTGACTTTCCAATGGCATATCATATTTCACCAAATTAATCGAATATAATAAAAGAAGTTTATCATTGGAATGAGTTTTTCATTGAAATTTTCGTTAAATTTTGACAATTCTAATGGGAGTGGAAATAAAAATTTCTAATGGAAATTTCTCTGGTAAAAAATCGTTGGAAAAATATTCGTTGGAATCATCAAATTTCATCTAATATTCCAAGAGAAAACTTATTCCAACGTCATATATTCCGAGCATTTTTTTTTTTTTTAAAAAAGGCATCTTATCGACATTTTATTTATCTTATTTCCGAGTATTTTACAAATTGACCAATACTGGACTCTAGTCAATTCCTTTTCTTTTTTCCTTGCAATTCACCTTTTCTTGTCCCAACCTTCTGTAGCCCATGGTGCACACACTGTTTGTATATATTACTATATTTTTGGAACTCAAAAACTCATCTCAAACCGTCTACATATAGTAATCAACCAATGGGAGTATGAAGCTGGATTACTTTTTAGATTTTTTTTCTTATTTTTTCAAGGTTGTATAAATTTCTTTCCTAATATATATAAGATAGTGGTTCAAATGAGAACTAAATCCTAGCTTGAAAACCGTGAGAATCACTATTTTTAATTGTATCTACTGCTATGATTGATTGTATTTTGTACTATTTTTAATTAGGATATATTTTCTTAAAAATAGCAACACAATTTTATATTAGCATGTATGAAAATGACAACACTATGTAATATTAAAATATCATCATACACAAGTAAAAATAGCTTCAAATATGATTCTCGCGGTTCTCACACCAAAACTAGTTTTTATTTGAACCAACTCGTACCTGTTCGACTCTAAGAAATGCCGGATTGGTTTGGATGCGATTGTCTCACATCACACTTTTGAAAAGGTGATGAAAAACTTCTTGGTAATGATTTTCCTACTCCTTTAATTATCCACACGCATGAAATTCCTAAATTACTAAAAATAAAAGATGTCTCGGGTAATTTTCGAAGTTTAGATTGATTGATAGTTATTTGATTTATCTGGGAGCATTGAATGTTTTTACATATTACTATTATACGAAAAACTTGTATATTTAAAGTAATTTTTTTTTTTCTCAAACGATAGATTCAATAAAAGAAAAATACATAATTATATTCTAGAAAGCAGTTAAATAGCCAAATAAATCAACTACTCGGCTGAATCTAGTTAGGAGGACTAACCCCGTAGGCAACTTGACTGAGGCAGCCTAAAACCAACCTAAAGGCAGAAAAACAGCATTAAAAAGCCCAAGTTTCCAACGGAAGAATAAAACCTACTCCCAATAGGAGAATCAAACACTAACAAATACAAATAATTAAACAAAGAAACAAAAACACACCTAAGAAACAACGAAATAAAATACTAACTCCCTCCCCACCAGACGGAGTCGCCCATCGCCAACACAGTCCAAGCTACACCCAAGAAGCAACTACAAATTTATAGCCCAAACAACAATGAACCAGAAACTCCCCTACTGGGCTAACTAAAACCAGACCGCAAATTCAACAACCGTCCTCAAAACTCCGCAGGCGTGCCCAAGCTGGTCCACTCCACAGCCCTCACCCCTCCCCCCACGCACACCCCGGATTCGCCACGCAATCACACAAAACGCCGCTGGAGGACCACGCTCACCCAAACCAAGGGAGAACAGAGAGGGGAGAACCAAGTCTAGACCGCCGTCGCGAACCTCCGCTAAGAGGTTCGCAGTGTCAGTCGGACCACAACCGATGACAAATTCCATCGCTTCTCGCACCCTTGGCACTCGGTAAGAGAGGAAGACCACTTTGGGGAGAAAGAACCGAGGGATCGATATAGCCGCACCTCTAAATCTAGGGCGAGCTAGCTGCTTGCCGTAACCGATGCGACGAAGGCTGCCTGGGGGGAGGCACACCAAGACAAGAGAGCGGCTAAGGCACAAAGGTTTTGATTTGAGAATTTCTAGAGAGAGAAAAGGAGAAAAGTTTTTC